TATTCAGCTTATAACCATATTTTTGATGACTATATAATAAAGTATTTTTCATTTTTTCATATAAGTTTTAATTAACCAAAGTGTTACTAGAATTAATCAAATAATATCACTCTTTTTTAATATACATAAGAGTACCAAATTCAATGCTAATCTAATTCCAAAAATGCTTAAAAGGTAAAGATATTTCTACTGAAAGTAGATAGCAAATTAAATAAGTATAGTCAGTTGATAATTGATTTTTGTTTTTAGTATATTATTGAAAATGATTCTGTTATAATATAAGTTAGAGATCAAAATTTATCCATTAAAAAGCTAGAAGTCCTAGCAGGAATCACTAAGTTTGTTGGCTTGATAATTAATTGTAAACCAAAATGATTCATTTTAATTTAATATATTGAATTAAATATATGACAAAAGGTAATAGCAAATGAATTGATAAGATTCCTTTATTGAATTCTTGGTTTATCTTAAAATCCTATTTCAAGTCAAATGCTTTTCAACTCAAGAGAAATTATAGGATATTTATATTAAATAAAATATTAATAATAAAATGACTTAGATAATTCAAAATAAATCACTTGATTTGTGAAAGTCTTAGCAATATCAACATATCTGCCACAATAGGACTGAGGAATGAGCCAAAACGTCCTAAAGGAGTAAATGATCCAACTCTAAAGAATAAATTAATCAACATGAAAATTAAAAGATTAAGCAATTTATGTGTTATAAGCCATAATTTAATTAATAAAAGTAATTTATATTGAAATAAATTTTTTTATTTAATAAATAAATTAATAGTATTTATCAAAAAAGGGAAACGTTTAAAAATTAAAAAAAAATTTTCATTATAATCCTTTATTTGGCATTACATACTCAATGTAACACTGCGTTATATCCAAACTTTATGCGATTTTTTATTGTGTGTAATAGATGATGATTTGTATTTAGGGAACGATATATTGAAACCGTCATTAAAGTTTTAACTGGATAAATATTTAAAAAATAATAAAAGTTGCTGGACCGGTTAACCAATTATTTTTAATAAAATCGTAATTAATGTAATGATCAAAAAAATTTATTTAATCTTCCTTGCGGAAAAAAACTGTCTTAAAAGTAAATATCACCTTTTGTTAAAGCCAAATTAGAACTTCCCCAATTGTAATATTATATTTTTTTAAAAGTTACGCGTTTGTCTATTTAAAGAAATTTGTACACAATCTTTAAGAAATAATTACCGTTGATATCAACGTAACCATTAACCAATTAACCAGTTAATAATTAGCCGGTTATTAGCCGGCTAATTTTAACGGTTCCAATCTAATTGAGTACAGACTGAAAACGCTGTACCGTACTAACGAAGGCTTTTCAAAGTTTCACGATGTTTTTAATCACTTGTTAAGCAATCACTTTTGGAAACATGGCAAAGTTTTTTGACCGCTCCAAATTTCAAAGAATTCAAAAAATTGCTCAATTTTATATCATATATGGTCTTATTGGTCCAATGGTGCGTAAGATGTAAAAAATATTTCTTTCATATTCATCTTTACAATTTGCTGTTGTTAAGAACAATGAAGCCAAAATAGTTTAGTGTTTACTTCCAGGGTAATTTATAAATAACATATTTTACGTTTGGGACGGAATTTAGATCAATTTAAATAACATAGCAGAAAAGAACAAGTTTATTAATAAGAATCCAACTATTACTAATTCAGTCATCGTTTTGTAAATAGGTGTTAAGAAAAGAAAATCAAACTACAGTAAAAGCGAATTAATTTCTATTTATAAAAAATCTTATCTAGAAATTCTACCGCGACAATTTTAACAAGGGTTAATTAAATTCATTGCAGGAGTGCTGGAAAATCCGGAAAAAATTCGCCTCATCTATATTCTTATTCGTATTAATAACAGTATCGTTGATAGTAATCATCTATCGTTATGTGAAAATACTAATGAAAATACAAATTAGTAAAAATGATAAACTAATTAAAAACGGCGAGTTTGAGAAGAAGACTACTACAAAATAGTAATCAGTTACATAATAATAATATTTATTCTGCAATGGGTTCTTATACGGGCTCAGAATTTAGGAAGATTGTTCGTGTAAGTTTTAGAAATAATGACCTTTTTTTACTTTTATTTTTATTTTTATTTTTTTAATTATTATTATTTATAGGATGAACGCCTTAGATTTATATATTAAATGGTTGCAGTAGGTAAACTTAAACTTTGATGTGAACGTTAAACGCTTCCACCTTTAATTAATTAATTTTTTTCTTCATACGACATGATCGATAACGTGGTTCAATTAATTTTAAATGAAGACTGGGACTCTAATAAAAAAATGGTTACTAACGATGATCAATCAAATAATATAACTTTCGAGAAAGGTCATTCGAGTTTATCGGTCGACTTTTTTTTTTTTTTTACTAGATCCCTATCGACAAAAATATTTTATATTTTTTTGTCGGGGATCTCTCAATGAATTACTGTATTATTGTATTTAACATTAATCTTGTCATGTAAAAATAACTAGAAATATAATATCTGAAAGAGAAAATGAATCAATCTTAATTTTAATTAGGCCGATAATTTTCCCAAACGTTAGACTTAATTTGTGTAACATATATCTTTAATTTAATTTATATTCCCAAACAAATAAACAAACTAGAACATGAGGGTGTATCTGAATGAATACGGGTTGTAGTATGTAAATGTTAATATTGGTTGAAATTTAAAAAACCATTTAAATATTTTGTCCTTTCGTGATATACAATTTTATTATTATTATTATTATTTTAGATTGAAGGAACAATATTCTTTCGTTTATGTATTTGTAAACAATTTTAAATGTATGCAGAAGGTGTTGATTGAATAAAAATGAAGTAACAATAACAGAATATTTATTTAATATTATCGAATTAATCAGTGTTGCATTATCGATATTTTAAACTCTATAAATGCCAAGCACTAAATTTTATTTAATTAAAACTGCGCAAATTACGAAACAATTACATAAAAATTGAATTACTAATAAAAATAGGAAATTAAAATTAAAACGGCGAAAGCGAAATTATCGCAAAGGTGTAGAAAGGGAGGATTTCGAAGTGAATGTAATTAAAGAAATATCACAAGGGCGAGCGTGGATATTGAGCTGTTTAAGGATTTCCAGCTCGTGTATATATATAAAAAAAAATAATTAGGCCAGCCTGGCGTCTTGAACATTTTGTCATACTGGCACCTTGACAACCTGGCATCTTGACACCCTGGCAACCTGGCAAATGATCATCAAAGGACTATCGAAAGCGATTTCATGCAGAATTCTGGAGATCTCGGCCGGAGTTACGTTCAATTGTAACAGCACAAAATTTGAAAATAGTTCATTCGTATAAACTCTTCAATTTCTCATAAATAACGCTCCAACGCCATGATGTTAAAACGAAAAAAAGATTAACATAATAAACATACAATTTTAATTAAAACAAATTTCACTAGCCTGTAAATTTCACATTTTTATATTGCTAGTAAAATCAGGTTCTAACAAAATTGAGATTTTTTATTGTTTTTGAGTTTTTGATGTTATTAAATTAAAATGCATTAAGCTCTTAATATTAGTCAAAAATGTCACGGAACCTGATTTCCTAGCAATCTTCCCATATATGTTTTTGATTAAAGTAAATTACTTTTTCCATCATTTGAAAAACTATCAAAATTTGCTATCTAACCGATAAATATTTGCCGACTAAATATAATAATAAATAAATGATAATAATATCAATTATTTAATAATTTTAATTGCTCATCTCGCATTCAAGGAGATACGTGGTAAATCTTATTTTAATTTCCAATCTTTAATCTTTATTTGGTATAATGTTCGAATAAAAATTTCCAGGTGACATCCATTCAGTAACCAAATAAAATTTGGAATATTCTTGTCACACCATAAAAATCTTATAATATGACCCGAATTTTTTAATATTTGAGATTTCATTTCACCCAAATGTGGAATCCTTCATCTTTGCAAAATTCACCTCTTCTGGATCATATTCTTGCAATGTAATTTTAAATTCATTTGTTTAATTCACATGAACATCTTGTGAAGGATGCATTGAAGGAGCGGTGAAAAACAAGGGAGATAATATGGAATAGAAATTGTATCTACATCAAAGGGAGGAACGGAATAATTTTGTCATTGGCATAATATTTTAGTCTAGCCATATTTTCGAATAATGTCTCAGATTTTCGATAACTTAAACTCTTTAAATGGCGCGACTGTCTGATATTTAAATACATATCGAATAATAAAAGGGTTTATAGATTAAACTTATATTTCTCATCTAAATAGAATATAACAAAATACTGCATATTGATTTTAAAAAGTTTAATTTATGCAGCAATATTAAACATTAAAATAATTAGCTAAACTCCAACAATAACTATACCCATATCAAATCACTAAGTACAGGCCTTCTTCAGTTTGCCTTTTCAAAACACACCGTTTTCATTATATTCACTAAAAAATTTAATTTGTATTGTAAAAAAAGAATAATTAATTTTTTTTGTGTAAAGATTTATAGCCAAATTTATCAAGTTCAAAGTTAAGTGAAATTGATAACGAAAAAAATATATTTTTCCGTGAACCGTTAATCATATAAATATAATAAAATATTCAATTTAAGTTTATTTAAAAATAGAAGACCTTTTATCTTGAAGACATGGTCAAAGCAACTATAAATACGAAACTACAATCAGATTTAAAATTATAAAGCGTTTTAAACTATAACCATATGGGAGTGTTTTTAGGAAAATCGGGTTCCGAGACATTTTTGACTAATATTAAGAGCTTAATGCATTTTAATCTAATAACATCAAAAACTATAATGCAATAAAAATCTCAATTTCGTTAAAAAATTCCCGGAACCTGAATGCCGGAAAAAAAAAATTTTTTTTTTGCCTAGCCTAACTATATGCAAAGCGTCATATGTCTAATCCAATGAACTTATTTATTCTGTTCTTCTTTTAAATATTAAATGTATTGGCAGCGGTGCCATAATTGGACCAGTAGATCGATCAAGATGTAGTTTATCTTTATGAATACTATCTGCTGGTATAGACACCTCATATTTTCTCACTATATAGAGAAAAAAAATAATCAATTTCCAAAATATATATATATATAATATGATAGTTATTCATAAAAAGATTAAATAGAAAACTTACATAAAATACACAACATCACTCTTTGTTCAATAAGTGAAAAGTTGATACCTAAACATCTATTTAAATAAAA